TCTGCAAAAAGCAGAGACGAGATCCTGTGGTCCCCAAACCGGACTCCCTCCGGCCCCTGGCTGCGCCTAGAAATTCTGTCCATAAAAATAATGAACAGAACCGGTGACAAAGGGCAGCCCTGCCGGAGTCCAACACGCACTGGAAACAAGTCTGACTTACTGCCGGCGATGCGAACCAAGCTCCTGCTCCGATCGTACAGGGACCGGGTGGCCTTTAGCAAAGGGCCCCGGACCCCGTACTCCCGGAGCTTTGATCCAATTTGGAAAATGAGTACTTTTTGAAACACTTGATTCATCCCTAGCTGGCGACATCTGCTGGCCAAATGTGTACAATGGAAAGGCCTAGTACTGTGCATGAACAATTGGGAAGCTGCATATATGAGTAATTTTCACAATGTCATTGTGTGTAAATAAATTGTGTTACAATAATAATAGTGTTACAATAATAAAGAGTAGTCAGCAGCCAGATGTTACTAATCAAATGCAAAGGATTAATCAGTCATTAAGAAGTGTAACTGCCTATATAGAAGCAGAACCTTTGGCACTTTAGTGTTCTGGAGCACTGAGGTGTGTGTCTACAATATGCCAAGAAAAGAAAGGACATCAGCCATGACCTCAGAGCAGCAATTATCACTGCTCATCAGTCCAGGTAGGGTCATAAGGCCAAACAATCTGAGACTCATTGTTCTGCAGTGGAAAAGACTGTTTACAAATGGAAAAAATGTCTTAGAGGCAGCTGCCCATCTTCCTAAGAGGGCGTCCCAGCAAATTCACTTCAAGGTCAGATCGTTTAATGGTCAGAGACATGAAAAAAACCCGAGCTTCATCACGTGACTTCCTTGCCTCTGTAAGCACATTAAATGTTTATGTTCATGGGAGGACATTTAGAAAAAAGACTGAACTAGTATGGCTTTCACAAATCATCTAGGAAAGGTCCTTTCTCTCCTAGAAGAAAATACTGCAGCACTCAGGTTTGCAAAACTACATCTGAACATCAGTGAGCTCAGTATGAAGGGTCTTAGCAAGTATTGAACTGTACCTATACAGCGATGGTGGTATAGTGGTGAGCATAGCTGCCTTCCAAGCAGTTGACCCGGGTTCGATTCCCGGCCATCGCATATACTTTATTGTGTGAATTGGTGCTGCAGATGGCTTCCTCGGATATGTAACGGAAACCGATTCTTTTTCTGTGTAACAGAGTTAATCAGAACATCAATCTTTAAAGAGCTACTCTTAAAAAAAAAAACAGTAGTGTGTAGGTTAGTTACCCACCGGATTTAATACATACCCTGTGTATAGCACTGGATGCTCTGTGCCCACATCTCTCTTTGGTTTACGGCAGATTAAGTCCATTTACGGCATCCCGCCATTTTATTTCAGGAGAGCAGATGAAGCTATTTAGCTGTCTTCAGCCGCATGCTGTGGTTTTCTTGACTTGATCGGTTTTAGTGATTGTTTGTCCTGTTTTGCAACAGCAAGTTGGTCCAGGCGACCTGCATACACCATCCGTATTTTTTTTTATTAGTCCATGGTTTGACTTTTGTCAAATATCGGAGGAGAGAAGGTAAGAATCATAACTCGAACCTCCTTGTTAGCGTAGTTAGCTTGCTAGCTAATTGAAAGGGCTCGACTTTGTGTCGTATTAACGCTATGTTGGCGTTAGCCTGTTAAGAAATGATTGCTTAAGTGGATACGTCTGTTGCAAATATCTGTTTATGTGTAAGTGTTGACCTTACTTTTATAATAAGAATTGTATTGAACAAATGACAAAACGTGTACGAACTGGCCACATGCCAGTACGATAGGGAAGTGGTCAACTCTAGTCGTCTAGCGTTAGCACATTAAGCTAACATAAAACATTAGCTGTCTTTCGAGCTACCGGTGTTGGTCTGCCATCTCCATTTAGTATTTTGCGGTGTGACTGATATCAGTTATGGTGGTAACTATACGTGTTATTTATTGAGGTGAAAGATGACGCAGTTTCTGCCCCCGAACCTGCTGGCCCTCTTTGCACCGCGGGACCCGATACCGTTCCTGCCTCAGCTGGAGAAACTCCCCCATGAGAAACATCACAACCAGCCTTATAGCGGCATTGCACCATTTATCAGGCACTTCGAGGTGAATATTTAATCGCCTGCAATTTTTGTATGCTTGGAACCTAGCTCTGTTTTTTTCTCAATGTTATATTACATTGTGTTTATCTTCCTTTCGTCATCAGGATCCTAGAGATGCCCCTCCACCAACAAGGGCAGAGACCCGTGATGAGCGGCTAGAGAGAAAGGTAGGATAATGAAAAGCCTCCACAGGCTCTAAATGAAATTCAAAGCCTTTGACGATGCTGGTTTTGGCTTGGTATGCCACACAAGTGTGTGTAGGAGATGTCATTGACTAGGGGTGTAACAATCCATCAGTCTAGACTGATTTCATTGATCAAACAACCAGTGAGACATCCAGTGTCATTGTTGAGAAACGTTAACAATTAAATCCATGCATATTGCCTACAAATTGGACAAGTGTTGAGAATGTTGCAAGGCAGTGCAGCAACCTAGTACTCTGACTGGGAGTTCACACTAAAAATGAACTAAAGTAATAACTCTCCCACCAAAAGCAAGGGAAATGGAGAAATTCAAAGTGTATATATCAGTGACTATCCTCTTGATGGGGGTTACTTACCTCTGCAAAGTGAATCCACTGATAACTTTTCACATCAATTTAACCTTTTAACGTTATTAGAGAGAACATTCTGCTGTCTTAATAACTGACATGCACAGGGATTGCTGAAATTTTAGTTCCTATTGCCTCACATTATGTAGATGAAATGGACAAGTAGACATTATTTCATCCATACAGTTGGCATGAATGCTGTGGCTGTAGGAGGGGTTTTAAATCCTCTGCCCCAATTTTAT